CTTTTTAAGTGGGAGAACTTGCACAATTGGTGGCTGACTAAATACTTTTTTGCCCCACTGTATACTCTCTCTAAAGCCCTACCACTAAATATTAGTGGCAAAAATCATGTATTTTTAGCAGCACTTTTAAAAAAAAAAAAGTAGGCAAGAGCAAAAAGCATGACTTTTTTTTAAAAGTATTTTTAAAAACCTTCCTGCACAGTCAAGTAAGAGTCAACCATTTCAGTTCTACCTCTTCTGAGGTTTTTGTTTCTTTGTTAAAAAATAAAATGCAGCCTCCAATAAAATCAGATGCCCACCACTAAAAGCAGTTTATGCATTGCTCAAAAGACATGAAAGGTTTATTGCTTATCTATTAAGTCCTTTCACAAGGATAAGTAGTGATAGATAAATGTCTCTGAAATAAAGTTTGCCTCCTGTACATTTTGTCACCAGTATTCCATTACAGGTAGTCCTCATTTAGCAACTGCCTCATTTAGTGACTGTCCATAATTATGAGGTTGATGAAAAAGTAATTTTACAACCAATCCTCATATTTACAACCTTTGCAGGTCTATAAGCACAGTTGGTTTCACTTAGTGACCACTTTGCTTAATGATTGAGTTTTCAGTCCCAATTGTGGTCACTAAATGAGGACTACCTGTACAGAATACTGACAGGCTATTAAAGGATTCTCTCTTAACAGGCTTGATAAGGGCCACACAATGTCCATATTTGAGACCCTTGATACTAATGTTTTTGAGGGGTTTTTTTGGAGTTTTTTTTTAGCTACCTAGCCTAATAGAAGTTTCAACAGAAAAGGCTAAAATGGTTTCGTGCAACTCACTGACAACTGTAGACAAAATGATAAAATAGATGAGATCACTATGTTGCTGATGACTTATGATGGACAATGAATGATTTCTATTACAGTTATCTCTTTGTAAAGGTAAAAGCTGGCCTCGAGTTTGACTCCTTGTGATTCTGTAGATACAACCATAATTTTCTTGCTAATACAGAAGTGTTTTTTCAAGATATTCTTCTACACCCCTACCTTTAGTGTTCCATGGTGGATTCCCATCCAACTATTAACCAGATCTGGCCTTGCTTAGCTTCTGAGCTCAGATGTCAGCAGAATGCTGCCATCTGCTGATACTATTGTTGCTGTGCATGAATTTGGTCTTGACACCTATATTAGCCACAATGTTTTATCATATAAAGATAAAAGAGACAAAAGACTGTCTTTCATAATTAATTTATTTAGAATTAATATCACCCAATAAATTACCTGTAGTTAAAAAAAGAAAAACAACTGTGATATGTGAGGATATAATCAGTACAAGGTAATTTGGGAACATAAAGACAACCAGGAATAAATGGAAAAGGGAGAGAGTTCAACCTGAGATAAAAGCAGAGATTTGAGGAACATCATTTGTTTCTATGAGAATGTTATTGTTTAAAGTTCAGCTCTTCTGAATGAGACAATCCAGTTTATCATAGTAACTACCTGGACAATTTTAATCAGTATGAAAGCAATAGATCCGTGTTTCTCAACCTTAGCAACTTTAAGATGCTGGCTGGGGAATTTTGGGAACTGAAGTCTGCCCATCTTAAAGTTGCTAAGGTTAAGAAACACTGCAATAGATTTTCTGCACATATATGGACATCAACTGTAGTTCCCCAACATTTAGAAAGATATTGCCTCAATATCTGAAGGCTCCAATTAGATTACATATTTTATAATTATCAGTAGATACATCTCCATGAATTTGAAAAATTTTAAAGATCACATTACATTAATAAATTTTACCATTATGTGATTTAAGAAGCAAATTTTGTTTGTCCTGACATGTCATCTAATTTCACTGATGATCCTAAATTCTAATCTATTAAAATAGGCGAGAGTTATTTCCTTCTTTGTACTATGCATAATTTTATAAACTTTGATGATGTCCTTTCTTAATTGTCCATTTCATTTTTATAAAATAAAAAATCCCATCATTCTATCTTTTTCACATACGAAAGATGTGCTACCTTTGATCATTTTGGTATTCCTTTTACTTGAATTTTTCCCACCCAGTCAATTTTTGGAGATTTAGTAGAATATTAAAAAAATATCAAAACAAATGACTGAACACCCCAAGAAATTGACATTGATAATAGGATTTATATGACACATTAATGATATTTATACTTATGCATATGCAAGCATGAAGATTAGAATATGGCTTGTTCCTTCTTCATGCAGGAAGAACATTTCTCAATACACGTGTGTCTTTACAGTGTGTTTATGTGTGTCTATTTTTTAAAAAAAGAGCTAAACTATTCATAGGTAATTTTTGATTCAACTAAAGCTGAACTCTAGAATTTTCATATTCCTTTTATATTTACCATGAATTGTAAATAACCCAATGCCTGAAGCCCAAAACTATATTCCACAGTAATCACAACAAGAGATTAGAATGTACATTTTGATTTTTTTCTCTGAACAGTCCACAGTTGGTACCTATCAATATCAGCCATTTTTTTAAATGTACAAGTGTATACAGTCAGGAAGGTATCATTGTATTAATCATATTAGTCACTTCATCACCTGCAATGTTACTGCTCTATCATTTAGTGGCAAACCCTTATGTATAGATCCATCCATTCTGTAATGTAAATGTATCCATATCAAAGAGCTTTCAGAAATCTGCATATATATTTTCAGACAATTACCTGTATAGGTAGTCCTTGCTTAACAACCATTTGTTTAATGACGGTTCGAAGTTACGATGGCCTTGAAAAGGGTGCTTTACAGTCCATAAAGCACTTCTGGCCGTTATAAAATGTCACGCCACCCCACCCCCCACGTGGCCGCATTTTGGGCACTTGCCAACCGGCTCGCATTTACAACTGGTTGCCAAGCACCCCACAATCATGTGGTCACCATTTGCAATCTTCTCTGTGGCAGGGAAGGTTGCAAGTGGAGGGGACAAGACAGTGTGCAGGAATGGAGCTCAAATCCTGAAGCCAAAATTGTGAAGATTTGATCTCCATTCCTACCCACTATTGAGAGGGGAGGGGAAACCCTTTGGTGGTGTGAAGGAACGGAGATCAGATTTTCAGGATTTGAGCTCTGTAGCTGCCCACTGCTGAGAGGTTTCAGCAGTGTGAATCTTCAGGATTTGAGCTCAGTTCCTTCACACTGCCAAGAGGTTTCCCTCCCCTCTC